TATATATATATATATATATATATATATATCGAGTCTTATAGTTAGGGATGGTAATGGAGCTCTATGGGGGCGGGTAATATTAAATTCGCCCACGCCCCGCTAGATAAAAACTGTCTCCATATCCATCTCATATCTGCGCGAGTATCCATTGAGCGGGTATTCATGAATTTCTTGAATACTCACGGATATCCATGAATATTTATAAATTTTTTAAGAAATTAAAAAAATTATATTACAAATAATTTTAAGTCTATATTTAATATCATTGAAATATTAAAAATAAAAATTCAATGTTAATTTTGAACTTGTATTTAACATTAATTTTGTTGAAATAATAATAAAAATGTAAGATAATCAATGACTTAAAATACATCAATCTCACAAGTAAGTTAAAGTCTCATCGCAAAGCTATAACAATTCAATCTCATAATTTCAAAAGAACGTAAACAACTTAAAATACATAAATTTTATTGGTTCAATCAAAGCTAGAAAATTTATCAAATTATATCCAACATAATTCTATAACATGTTTAACACATGTTGGTAACTTCATTAACCTCACTTTTGTAAGAAAAGAAAATAAGACAAGAGAGTGTGGTTTTAGGGTTATGTGGTACAAGAATAATTAAGATATTTAAGAAATATTATTAAACAGGTACCCGGGGTATGATATCATCATACCCGCCCCTGCCCCATTTATAAACGGGTAAAAAATTATTCGTCCCCATTATCCACGGGTACCCAATTAACCTATCCATTTATTATCCGTAGCGAATTTTATTTGCAGATACTTGCATGTGCAAGTATTTTTGTCATCCTTACTTATAGTACACTAGAGAGTATTTTAGAAACTTACTTTGTTACATTATATTTAGGAAAACAAATAATACTTATAAAAATAGTTTGTATTATTATTACTATTTATTTTTTCCGTGATTTATGTAATAAAATCTAAAATAATACACTTTTTATGACACAAAAGAAATACATAATGACACCAGGCACCAGCAGTGTTAGACTGCTTAGTTGGTATTAAATGAATTAGTTGGTATTTAACTAAGAATCTCTTATCACTTTTGAGTCTACGACCTTATGATAAAGTTGTTGACCAAACTTAATGAATATGTACAATTGTGAGTTTCAATATTATATAAAAAGATCTTTTTCTCATTCTTTATTTGTCCATAACATTATATTGAAATCACATATATAAGTCATAAGTTCGTATATTTTTCTTTAAATATCAACACATTTTAAGGTATATATATTAAAATTAAATTGTGTGTTAAGAATTAATTAAGTGGAAAGGTGGAAACTTGTTGAGCTTGTTGATGAGTCGTGATGATTCATGACTAGTCCTGGCCTGCAAGGAATATAGAGAAAATTAGAAATGATGTTGAATGGTGGTGCTACTAATTATAATTATAGCAAGCGTCCTTCAAATTTTATGATTGCATTTATTATCATTCATCTTAGGTAGCACAACTAATTTCGTACTTGGATATTCGTTTCAACTTTCAACCCAACTCAATTTTGATGATTTTTTTTATTAGTTATAGATTTGGTACAAATTTTTTCTGATTTGAGTTTCACTATGTAACTTCTTATTTAGCTGCATTTTTTATATTAATATATATATATATATATATTAAAATTAAGTTTTAAATTTTATAAATATTAAAATATAAATTAATTATGTCAATTAAATAATTTAAA